TAGGAGAATATCACAAGGCGATTGGATATGCCGAAAAGGGACTGACCATAGCTAAAGAGTTTGGCGACAGACAAGGAGAAGGAAATGCTTATGGAGATTTAGGGATTGCCTATACATCATTAGGAGAATATCACAAGGCGATTGAATATCTTGAAAAGAGACTGAGCATAGCTGAAGAGATTGCTAACAGAGAAGTACAAGCAGAGTCCCATCATAATATAGGTACGTACTATGCTTAAAATGTATTCTTAGAAAATCTTTAAAGTCTGACATTGAATAAATATATTAATTCATTATTATCACTTACCACATGTTACCATGGCGATAAATTGCATATATTTATTTTTATGATTACCATTTCAAGAATATTTCTATATTGTTATGTTTGTAAAACTTTTTTTTGCTATTTTAGTGTATTCAGTTAAAATAATAATAATAAAAAAGCCGAAAAAATCCAACAAAACAARTTCAAACGCTGCAATATTCACATAAATTTGTATCGGCCAAACCCATTTGTTAGTTAGATGTCACATATAACGATGTGATGTAATGTATTATCATTTTAATATCTAATATATTACAAACTAAAATCACAATTATTACTGACTAAAATCAAATTATATGTACATTCTATCAGTCACATCATCATTTTTGTATCATGAACTACTTCTGTTCTGACAAGAAGTTAATGTTAAAGTTAGTACATGTAAGTCTAATTCTAAGATAATCGTCTTTCTATTTAAGGTCATGCTTATCAGTTAGAATCGAGCATCAAAGACCTCAGCAAATCAAAACAATACCTAGAGAAGAGCATGCAATGCTTCGAGAGATTGTTCGATGATTTAAAAGACAATGACCAATTCAAAGTTTCAATTGTTGATACATTCATCAAAACCTACAAGATCCTCAGCCAAGTCTACATCAAAACAAGACAAAGTGAAGAAGCTCTCTTAGTATGTGAACATGGSCGAGCACGTGCTTTGAGAGATCTCTTGTTTCTTAAATACAACACAACTGAGAAAGCACAAACAAAAGCACTGGAACTTGCAGATGTCAAGACAATTTCCTCTCATCGTGAAGGCTGCATTCTTTTTTACAATCTTCATTTAAACAAGGTTACWTATCATAGCTGGGTCATATCATCCCGAAATCCATCTACCTTCTTTTACGATGAAATAAACAACCGCGATGCTTTGGCAACAATTTTGTCGAGCCTCTCTGATGATGAAAGAAAAACTACCGAAGCKGGATATTTTCAATATCTCGTTGACAACTGTTTCCAGCAGCTGAATGTTAGAGAAGGAAAAGGAATGAAATGCGAAGACAGATCAATGAAGTCACTAGAGCATGAAGACCTGGAGTGTGCAYCCTCGACAAACTCCTCGCAGCTTAGTGAAAATGCTCTCAAAGCTTTTCAAGATGTTGACAGATGTATTCTTGACGAAGAAGACGATGACATGGAGCCTCTTGATATGCTTTTCTATAGACTAGTTTCCCCAGTACTGGACCAGCTGACCCACGACGAGGTGATTATCATCCCTGACGGTTATCTTTTCATGGTGCCATTTGCTGCTCTTCAAGATCCAAAAACCGGCAAGTATTTGTCGGAAACCAAACGCATTCGACTGGCTCCTTCTCTGACGACGTTAAAAATTCTACAAGAATCCTCACATGACACGTATTGCAGGGTAAGTACAAACAAGCTATGCATCTCATTAAAAAGGTTTCTATAGAAAATACGAGATACAAAATATACCTCTCTTGATGTTTTTTAGCCACGTTTTCTCGTTAKTCCACTTGCACAAGCACTGAACGAGGCACTTGTCATAAAAGCGGGAAACATTAACGTCAAACTTGAACATCAAAATTGTTTTGAGAAGTTGAATTGAGTGTTTTTGTATCTCGGCCTCGTTCTTCAAAATATGTACCTCCTCATGAAGCACAAGCCAGAATCCCACAAAGAAGAATGTTTGGACCACACAAAACTCTTTAAACTTTGTTGAATAAGCAAACAAATTATCTCTGTTTGCAAACGATTTCAAATGGTGGATGTTTTTACATTGCCATACTGGGAAAAGAAAAATATCGCAAAAGAAAGTTAGACAATATGTTGGGTAATCAGTTATTTTTCTTTTGACCTTGACGTTAAGCATCTCTTATTTTTAGTCAGGTGCTCTGATAATTGGAAACCCCACTACTGGACATGTCAGTCGTAATGGTCGTACAGTGATATTCTCCCCATTACCCGGTGCCGAAGATGAAGCCATACAGATAAGTAATCTTCTTGGTGCACAGCCATTGATAGGTAGCCAAGCAACAAAAGAAACAGTCCTAAGAAGACTTCAACAAGGTGTGTCAATTATTCATTTTGCTGCACATGGTAGTAAGGAAAATGGACAGATTGCTCTYGCTCCYTCTAAACCTACGACGTACTCGAGTCCAGCAGAGGAGAAGGACTGCATTTTGACCATGAAAGAAGTACAAGAGAGTGGAATTCATGCTCAACTGGTTGTCCTCAGCTGTTGCTACAGTGGTCGAGGAGACGTAAGGTCTGAAGGAGTTGTTGGAATGACTCGAGCCTTTCTTGCTGCAGGAGCTCGTGCCGTTGTAGCGTCATTGTGGGCCATTGCTGACACAGCAACAAAGTTCTTCATGCAGAAATTCTATACCCATCTTAAGAACGGAGAGAGTGCGAGTAAGAGTCTGCAGCAGGCAATGAAGGACATGAGAGAGATATACGAGGAACCAATGTTCTGGGCTGGATTCTTTCTGATTGGAGACGATGTCACCATCACAGTGTGACCGAACATTAATTAGATAACTCAACAATTTCAGTAATTTCAAATGAACGTTCAATTAATCTATTATTTGACAAATGTTTTTCTTTATAAAGCTTATCATAGTTGCAAGAACATAGATTCACACAATGATATTCTATTGAATATCACATTAGAAACAGCTTAGAGAGCGGTTTTTTTTAACCCGTGAAGCAGAGTGTTGTAAGGGGGAGGGGGAAGACACGAGGGGAGTGGGGGTGTTAGGTGACACACAAAGAAAAACTTGCAAAGTAAGGAATAATTAATTGTTGTACGTTAAAGTGTGTCTCAAAACACAAAGTTAGAAATTTTCTGTATGAAATTAAGTTGTAGAAAATAGCATAATCTTTGAGGAGTCTCACGATGTTTATTGTACAAAAAGCRCAAAACATGTCATAGGAAATTTCTGTCAAATCACAAATTCAAAACCTACTAGCTGAGTCCCATCACCAGTGGATGAGCTTGGGCAACGTTGGTGTTTTCAATAGAAAAAATTGTGCACTTTAAAAGGTTGTTTCAAATTTGATGTAAATATGATGTAAGTGTCCAAAATGATGTAAATTTGTTGTAAATGATTTACATCAATTTACATCATTTTGGACACTTACATCATATTTACATCAAATTTACAACGACCTTTAAAGTGCGAGTTTTTTCCCAGTGTTGGGTTGTAGGTGAAAGCCAGTATAAAAAGGAGCACAGCGGTTACATGGCAGCTCTGTCCCTCCCAACACATCCAGCATCGTCACACTGCCAAAGCATTGAGATGTTGCCTATGATTTCCTGGGGGAGGGGAGGGACGGCTAAATTTCTAAAACGTATGCGAATAATTATCAAGTATAAAGTCACGATCAGGCAGTGGATCAAGATAGTAGGAATAAGTGAATAGCATACATCGAGGGTGAGTACACCCCACTCACTGTATGATGACTTGATATATTGCTCATTGCTTATTGCTTATTGTCAACCTGGTTCCCAGGCCCTTATTGCTTAAGATAAGAGACAACGTTAATTTTGTAAAGAAAATAAGTCTTTCATCATGATCCTTCGTAGTTTTGAGACATCCGCCATCTTGAGATTTTTTTTCATTACCATGATGCACCTCGACAAAACAGACATGACGTCATTAAGGTGAACGATAGTTGGGTTTCTAAGGAATTGTTATGACGAATGTAACCATTGTCTCATTGAATGTATGGCTATTGTGTATGAATAGACTGATTCCATAAGTCGGATCCAGTTTCCTCATTGTCGAGAGTTTGAGCGACAAACCGAAAGATCGAGGCCGGGAGYGAATACTTTGACTYATGGAATCAGTCTTTGTGTAAATAGATATTCATTAAAATTGCATTTAAAGACGGTTATTTTAAAGTGCTTTCCTGAAGACCGTGTAATACAATTCCTAAGAGACTGTGCAATATTCATCAGGAGAAGAGGTGCGGAGGGGTGGGGTTGAATAAAGAGTTGTCGCAAATCGTAGCACGC